GGGGGGGGGGGATAAAGAAAGAAGTATATTGTCATACGATTGTTTTGCTGCTTTTCATCCTATCACGAAGTGGACGAACAAATAACTTGGCAAATGGATCAGATTTGCCAATGATGTCTTTATTCGATAATTCCTTAGCTTGTATGAGCTTCACCTCCAAAATTCCAACCGGCTTTAACTCTAGGTAACTGTAACAAGAAATATATACCAAGAGTTCACATCAGAGATCTTAAAAAGTGTACTTATAATAAGTTTTCAAGTAAAAATTTTTATTTTTATTTTTTGTGGAGGCACAAATGTTTTTATGAGATCTTCTTGATTGTTATTCAAAAGGTCCAATATATATGACTTGTTCTCACACTAACATAAGAGATACTTTCGAAAAAAGAAACATTTTTACTTAAAAAGTAACAAAATAGCAAGTTATCCAAACATGTTCACAGACAATAGGTAACTAAAAAGGGGCTAACAATTTTAATAGATTATCCAGACATGATGTATTTTGAAAGACACGTGCTTGTGTTTTCATAATAGCTGTCGAACAGTTTATTTTCTAGCACAAAAAATCTCCTTAGTACTTTGCTAACAATTTTTGGTCAAAGTGGAAAATTTAGAAATTTAACACCCCAGGAAAAAAAATTACATTCTAGGCCTAAAAAACACTTTATCGGCATTATAAAAACTTGAATAGGTTACATGACTCCATAACGACTTCAAATTTGATAGAAATAAACACAATTTGAAGTGATTTTCAAATCCATCAATTTATTTAAGATGAGATCAAAGCAAGCAATTTGGCATCAACAAGAACTAGGTGGGAAAGGTGCACATAGTTAACATGGAAACATTTTTCAATGTTTAGAAGCATGACTGAAAATATGAGCAGCTAAATTGTGGAGAAAAAAATGACCTACTTTTTAGATCAATGGGCCATGGATCATAGCAAGATCCAAAAATGAGAAAATTTTGATTTGAAAAATAGGGGTATGTGCAATCGGTGATGATTTACCTATAATCTCCAGGTAATATGGGTATGATTTTACGGACTGGCCAGGTGATGGAATCTTCAATCGCATCTCGTATTGTTGCCTACATGGCACAAAAGGAATTAATACTTAACTAAACAAATGTGCCATTCTTAATACAGGTCTGTGAACTGGAGAACAAGCATAAAGAGCATCACAAAAGACTTCAATTCACTAATTATATATTTGAAAACAATAAATTTTTAAACTATAATCAAACCTCAAGGGTGTCAGATATTCCTGGAATTGCTGATACATCGCCGCCAACAACTTTGAGGGTAAAATCTAGATTTTTCTGCAGGTATCAATATGAATTCACTAAATCAATGCACAATTTTTTTGTTTCTTAACTATGAACAAACTGTGTGCGCACATGTATCACTCTTCTGTAAATACGCACATCAAATAATATAATAATTTCATACGTATGTGGCCATATTAAACGAAATCTAAAGATATTATTGAAATTCATGACGAATTATAGCACACTTTGCAGATAAATAAAGAGAAAAATGGTTGGTACCCACCTTTTCTCTTAATGAATAACAAACTGCTCCAAAACAGGGAAATTCATCTACTAGTGGTTTGAATATTATCCTGAAAACCCCAGTAAATCCAATATTTTTGACCTAAACTCAACAAATACAATTAAAAGTTCAATAAGTAATTGATTAGCTATAAATGAAGATTCAGATAAGCACAAGACTTCCCGCAGATATTATTGAAAATGAATAATGCAATATTCTTGGAAAGCAAACAGTAGAAGTCATAAAACAGAGACGCTCAAATAGAAAAGTTGTGAATTTGGAGTTCTTTGCTGGTTTTTACTCATATTTTATTTTTTCGTGGATTTCGTTATTACTTTAGTCATAATACTTCTATCAAACTGTTTTTGTTTATTTCTCTCTTCAGATTGGTTTATACGAATATTCGCCAGATTGTCGTTCAACTTTACTTCTGTCCACAAAAAAATAATAATAATAATAAATAAATAAATAATATATATATATATTAGGAAGAAAAATGAAAAATATATGACACGATGAATGTCAAATCTGTTTCCATTAAAAATTAGTGTTATGGGTTGAATCTGCCTTAGCATAGCTTCAGTACACAGGTTGCTGTTTTGAGTTTAAAAATAAAAAATCAATAAATTTATAATATGTCAAGAAACACCTGTACTGGTAGTCCCACGCCGACTATGGTTTTAACATCAAGTACAATATTGGGATTCCCGTCCCACTGCAACTCCAATTCCATAATTATTTCCCTGGCATCACCTTCAATAATGGAAACTCCTATAGAATGAAAACAGCTCAAAATCATAAATTCAATATTAGTCCTTTAACATAGGAGAATCTTGTTTTGTCATCATTTTTTTAATTGTGAACTTTTTCCAGCTTGACAATAATTCAACATACAATTCAAGACTGCTAAATACACTCGATCTTGAGAACATCAATACATTTGTCAAAATCATTATGATCACTTCATCTCTTTTGCCACCAATGCAAATTATCCCACCTTATAGAGAGAAGGAAAAAAAGTGCCATATAGCTATAGCCTATAGAAGTAAATGCACTACTTACAAGTTAAACCATAAGAACATGTCTGATACACAGAAAAAAAAAATCCATTCAGCAATAGTAAGCAACTGGAACATCTTCATAACCAAATGAAAAATTATAATAATTAAGCTAACCTGTAAATTTTGGAGCCACGGTACCCAGTGTCAACTTGGAAAATTTAAGAGAAGCTAAAATTACAGGTCTGTACGCATCAAGAGTTGGCTCTACAGAGTTCCTTATTAGCTCTGAAGCTGCCTATGCAAACAAGCCAAAAAAACCAAAAAAAATCAGAAAAATAAAATTTAAATCTTAGAAAGTACAAAAATTACCTCATTAACATATGGCCATAATTTTTCAAGATGCTGATTGAGCCAAGTTAACTGTCATACAAAAAAAAAGGGACAAAAGATTATAATTCAATGCTACTATACATCACACACATATATTGTTTGAAATTGACAGACAAACAATTGTATGGAAGATTTAACTCAACTTCTGTCGCTGCGAAAAGACAACCCAAGAAGGGTAGAATTCATTTGGAAGAATCTTTCTTGAATCATCAACTGTCATCCTGGCAAAAGCTGCAATTGCTTCTGCCTGATAAATGTTGAAAATAAATAACAAAAAAAATTAAAAGGTTAAAAATATTGTTATGTGTATAAACAAGAAACGTTGCTTCAAAAATGATAATGGAAAAATATGCAAGTAAATGCAACATTCTTGAAAGTCCTAATTCAAGTCTCGCCAGTAAAGAACTTTTGAATCCGACTCTTTTCAACGGATTAGGCTTTTAGATGAACCAGTTCAACAACATCCATGCACAGGAATGTATATACAAGTTTATTATGTATATATGTATGTAAAAACAGAATAAAATAAGATAAACAGCATACCAAATCAGTACGGCGCTTGGATCTGATATTTTGGTAGCGAGCAAAACCAATGATTAAACCAATACCTGCAGCAACACCCAGAACGTATCCTGCTAAAAACCCCATATTTTGAAGAATATTTAATGATTTCAAAACACCCAACAAATTAGTTCACTTGAATTTCCATAAATAATGATCTAATTAGATGACTATCAAAAACAGCAATCTTATTGAAGAAAATCTAGTTGAGTCGGTGGAGCAACTGAATTTTGATTTGGGAAATTTCGAGTGTAAAACAGTATAATTAGAGATTGATTGTGTTAGAGTTGAATACGATAAGGTAATTAAATTAGCTGATCTTTCTTTTTCTGTATGTTTTCTTCATTTAAAGATGTAATATTCCTTTCTTCAACATAATCTACACCCTGCCCTGCCGTGTCAGCCTTGTGTTCTTCACAGTATCTGTACGCAATGCAGTACTAAAAAATGGTCAATTTGGTATCCGAACTTTCGGTTGTTCTAAATCCATCACCAAACTTGTTTTCCATCTATACCTAAATATTTTCTTTCTACCAAATTAGGCTTATGTGTCACTACATGTCATTAGCTATTCAAAGTTTATTATCTTGATTTTGAATAATATTAAGCTCATGTTTGATGGTCTTTAAAATTTTGTATAAATCAGAATCAACGATTAATTTTAACTGTATATTTATAAAATTCACAATTCTTCAACTACATATTTTTATCTAATTTTACTTTTAATCTCCATTAAATAGGTGCTAAGTTATTAACAACACCGAATAGGTTAACAATTTACGCCTTTACGATTTTGAACCTACTTTTAATTTGGAAATGTCCGATTTTGGTATAGATGGATATGAAGTTGGAATTTTAAGTATAAATGGAAGATGTTGGAGAGAAAGGATATGGCTTTAGTTTGTGTTAATGACATTTTCAAAATGGTCAATTGGAAGTGTTTGATGCTAATGTTGTTAATTTGGCTAGCTCCGGTAGATGTAGGTATAAGTGAGAGACAAGTATTTAAGTTTGGTGATGGATTTGAAACAATTGAAAGTTAAGGTATCAAATTGGAATATGAGTAAAGTTCAAGTACTGTTGAATAAATAATCCTAAAATTTGAGTTTTTTTTTTTTTTAGTATATTTGGGGCAGTATACTTATTTATGAGTGAAATAGCTAAACAATTCTCAACAGATAACAATATCTAGACTTGTTAAATTCGGAGTGGAGAAGAGATTTTATAATATATTTTAAATCATTAAAATAGGATTTAAGATTTTATTATTGTTACCGACTTACTAAGCTCTACTTTTATATTATTAATCAAATGTGACGTGGTGTATAATGTATTGAACAATGTATTATGCTTCCGTTTGGTACTCATTTTTTGAAAATGAGAATGGATGGAATAGTATTTTTTTTAAAAATGAGTAGTTGAGAAGGAAGAATTTTTTTTCGATTTACGTATAATATTATCTTATGAAAGATTGTGGAGTAGAAAATATGAAAGAAAAAAATAAAATATAATGAAATGAAAATTAATGAAAACCAAAATGGGATATGTACTCTCATTTACACAAACTTTACTATACCATTAAACCCCCGTTTGGCCCCCATTTTTTGTAATGAAAATGGGGGGAATAGTGTTTTGTTGAAAAAATGAGTGGTTGAAAAAAAAGAAATTTTTTTCGATTTACGTGTAATATTATTTTATGGAAGATTGTGTGGTTGAAAATAGAAGAGAGAGAAATATAATGTAATGGAATGTAATTTAATGGAGATCAAACAGGGGCTAAAAGTCAATAAAATAACAATAAAATAAAGTCCTTAAAAGTATGTTTCAAATGTGCTTATAAATAATTTAATTTATGAATACATAAAAATAAGTGATAGTTAAGTAAATAATATTTGTAAATTTTTTTAAAATGTATAAATAAAATGTGATTTGAGTGTTTATAAACACGTATAAATAGTAATTGAAAATAAATATATTTTTAATTTCATGAATAAATTAATTGGCTGCTTAAACCTGTAATACCGGTCAACATACGAGTTTGGGAGAGCAAATTTTGTCCATTAACTACTTGGATGACATGTGTCCATTGTCGGCACTATCAATGTTTTCCACGTTCCTTTTAAATTTAAAAATAAATTAAACATTTTTTAATATTATCTATTCAACAGAAATCCATGGTAGAAATTTGCTGAGACATGTTGAGACAATGTGATCAATGTTGTGAAACAATTACCAGTTCAATTAAAAAATCATAAATAAAATTAGTCTGGACTCTCGACATATAATTAGAAGATTATTATTTTCACAAGATCAAAAAGTTCGAGGATCAAATCCTCTCCACGCCCACCCAAAATAAATAAATACTATGTGTTGACCCCGGAAATTGATCCTTCCACGTGACCAATTGAAAGTTACTCCACGTGTTCCTCCCTACGCACAATCAATGAATAGTCAGGCGCACACGGCCGGAATCAGCGGGGGTGGTGGCGGCTGTATACACTCCGACGGTCAAGTCAGGTTTAAGTGATTGGAACAGTACCCAGGGGCTATGCAAATCAACGATAAAGGGGGAGGAGAAAATATATAAACTTGCTATGGAGTGCTATGTAATAAAAGTTTCATTACCTTTGCCTCTTCCCAAATCTTGGATATTTATAGGTGGTATGAACTGTTGGATGTGGAACGCGTGTATACATCTAACGGTATGAAAAGTCCGCTCATAGGCGTCAATCAGCTGCATTTGTAGAGTGGGCGGACAGTTTGTTTCTTTTGAGTTGAATTGACATAAAGTTGATAAGTCACATCAACTAGCATCATGGAGACGTCAAATCAATTTAAACCTTAGGTGCAGGACAAATCTCAAATTGGTGGCGGATCTTCTAACCGGGGTCCACTTTGTCTCGACCTTGGAGGCGAAATGCTTCGGCAGGTCAGTAGTAGGAATCGCTATATCACTTCGGAGACATTTCGACCCTAGGAATCGCTATATCACTTCGGAGACACTTCGGAAGGGTCGTTTTCAGGTCGGATGTGTGGTACTGTGCGGGGTCCACTTGATCTCGACATCGGAGGTGAGATTCAGGTCGTAATATGAGGTGCTGCAAGTCCGATGCGTGTAAGATCGGAGCGTAACGCTATGGGTAAAATTTTTGGTATTAAAAATGGTTGAACTAATGAATTTAATTGAAAATCGATTGAAACCTCATAAGTTTTTCAAGCACTGGCTTTAAAATGGAATGCAAATATCTTGTGAAGGTGTGAAATTTGCGCAAAAGAAAAGGGCAGGGTAGGACGAGAATAAAGAGAGAACAGTAAAAATAGTATAACTAATTATATTCACACCATCTTATTTTTATCTGCACCACAATTTTATTGAAATGAATGTCTTCGACTTTGCTCATTTTTACAATTATGTCCTCAAGTGTTTTTCATTGTGTGCTTATTATTAATCTTCTAGCCACTGTTTAGTGTTCACGATCAAAATATGCTAGGAGGAACTAAAAATATTTATTTGATCATCGTATATTTACATAAGTAAAATAAACAATAAATACAAAGCTTTGACAAACATATTTTCTCATGCTAAAAAATATTTGAACAAAAATCATCAAGACATCATATACAAATTAATTGATGGTGGATTATAATAATGTAATGAAAAAATAAAAATCATGGACTCTACTCTAGTGCACAAAATGAAAAGAATTTTTTTTTGAGGATTTTCATTTCAATTAAATTATGAAGCGATTAACAAAAACTTTAATGTGAATATAATTAGCATACACACAAGCATCTAAAAGTCAAATTTAGCCTATGTTTGTTTCCTATTTTTAACAAATGGGAATGCATTTTTAGACCATTGGTTTCTTGCAATTTTTACAAATTGTGCGAGGCCAGTCAACAAAAACGACTTGATGGGGCCCATAACCACTTGATTTATTCTAAAATGGGGAAAAAATGGCCAACAAAGAGGGGCCTAAAATCAATTGGCTAAATATTTGCACACCACATTTTAATGGCATAAAAGGTCCGAAACCTTTATTTGTTACTATTTTACGTCCCCAATTTTCGTTCCAGTTTTATTTTCAAATCAAACGCAGGTTGGATATTGAGTGACAATGGTGTAAAGGACAGTAGTGAGGTCATCTCACGCCTTGTTGATAGCCGTAGTGTACAGACAACTCTTGTTCCCTGACCTGTTGGAGCACATCCCGCTAGGGGTGGCAAATGGGCCGATCGGCTCGCCCTCTCGCCTTGCGAAAACGGAGCTCGTGGGCGACTTGAGCTCATAAAAACATGAGCCCGAGCGCGAGCTAAGCGGGCCCGCTCGGCTCGCAAATTAAACGAGCGGCTCGTGGGCTTGTTTAAAAAGTGACCATTTCGGTCCCTAAAATTAATTTTTTTTTATTTTTTAATTTATGACCGTTAACGGTCTTTGAATTTTTTCAATGACCGTTTCGATCCTTTAAGTTTTTATTTTTTATTTTTTTCTTCCCTCTTTTTCTTCTATAAATAATGGCATTTAGCCACAAAATTTTCTATAATTCACTCTCAACTCTCAATTATCTTTCTCTCAACTCTCTTGTATTGTGTTGATAGTTGTGCAATTTTTATATACAATGTATACAATATCCAATTCTCACTATATTTATTGAAATTTCATCCAATTTTCATTTCTCACTATATTTATACAATTATTCTTTTACTAGTTATTACTTATTACAATTAAACAAATGGATTCACGCACATTTGTCGAAAACTTGTTCGGTGTGGGAGGAAACGAATCGCCTATGACACCGCAAAGTCAATTTCGGAATCAATTTGAAGGTTTAAATGACGTACCCCTACTTGGAGATATTTCAGATTTGGATTTTCATCATCATGTAAGCGGCAATCCAAATTATCGAATTAATTTGGATGATGTTGACGTTCCCAAAGCAGAACACGATCAGGAAGAAAATGCTGAATTAAACATTCCTGATGCGAGGGGAAAGCGAAAGGGAAAAAACAAGCAAAATGTTTGGATCACTTTAAGTTAATTTCAACGGAAAAAATCATCAATGAAGTCCCAGAATCCAAAGCAGTATGTAAATACTGCAAACAAAGATTGGCATGACAAAGAGGAATTTGTACCACCCATCTCAACCGTCATTACAAATTATGTGCGGCCAAACACGGACTTAGTACAGGCTGTCAAACACAATTGCAATTTGGCAGTCCAGACGTCGGTGGTTCTGCTGCACCCCTATCCACATGGGTGTATTCAGAGGAGAGAGCTCGAACCGAAATAGTGAAACGTGTTGCTGGTACTGAGTTGCCTTTGACATTAATTGACAACCAACACTACGTCTCATATGTGAAAG